ACTGTTGTTCTTGAAATTGCAGTCAGATTTTTCTCTGTCTAGAATACCTTTTAGTACTCTTTGCAATGCTGACTTGGCACTCATGAAGTTCTTCAATTGTTCTTTGTCATGGAAATATTTTATTTCTCCATTGAATTTGGGGATAGTTTGGCAGATTACATCAGTCTTGGTTGGAAGCTGTTTTGTCTCAGGACCTGTAATACTTTACTCCAAGCTCTTCTAGATTGGGTGGTTTGTGCTGAGAAGTCTGCCATGATTCTGATGGGCTTTCCTTTATAGGTAATCTGTTTCTCTTCTTTAGAAGTTTTTAATATACTGTTCTTTTGCTGGAGATCTGTGAACTTGACTCTTATATGTCTGGGTGGTTTTATTTTGGTTGTGGTTAATTGGAGTTCTATAATCCTCATTTACCTGTATATCAGGTTCTGTTTCCATATTTGGAAAATTTTCTGCTATTATTTCTGCAAATATTCTTTTTATGTCAGTTGTGTTGCCTCCTGCTGTTTCATTAACTCCTATTAGTCATACATTATTCCTCTTTAATTTGTCTTGCAGCTTTTGAATTGATTTTTCCTGGATCCTTGTTGGTTTTACAAGATCCTTTTTTTAACAGTCACTAGGTGCCATGCTGTCTTCAAAATCTGAAATCCTATCTTGGGCTTCATTCAAGTGGTTTTGGTAGCTTTCAATGGAAGCTTTGATTTCCTGGAAGTCTCTTTGAATGCATTCTAAGCCCTTTCTATATTTTTCATTTAATGTTTCTGTCCATTGCCTATGTCCTTCTATTTTCTTATATGTTTCTTCTTCAGACATTTTGAGCAGGTCTTTCATTATTATTGTCATTTCAGTTTTTGCCTGAAAGATTATTTCTAAACTCATCTCTTCTATGGCCTTATGGAATTGTTTCTTTTCTTCCACTGCAATCATTTCAGCAATTTCAAGAGTGTGTTTATCAAGTTCTCCTATGTCGATGTCTCCTGGACTTCTTCTAAGCGGGGTGGAGTTCTGGGACTGTGTTTTAGTCCTTTGTTTTGTCATGTCTGATACTGGATGTAGAAAGCTCAGTTTCCCTCTTCAATGGCTGCACAGCAAAGGCCATTAATGTCCCTAGTTTTCCTGTTGGTCAGGATTGCCCCTCAGTGTCTGCTGAGATACACTACTTAGTCTGGGGTTTTCTGGAGGTTGCTGAAGTGTATCTAGTTATCCCAGGTCTCAAACACGGGCATTGGTGTCAGCTGATGGCAGACCGTCTGACCCAGCATCCCCTTGTAGTTCAGGGCACATGTATGGCCTGGACTTGGGTTGCACTGGTGGCACAATCCTGGTCCAGTGAATCTGTGTCTCTAGGCAGTTCAGGGTACAGAAAAAACCCAGACACAAGCTTCAGGGTCAACAGTTTGTGGCCCACCTGATTCTGTGTCTCCAGTCAGTTCAGGATGCATACAGGAGCCAGATGCAGGCCACACTGACAGCAATCACAGACTATCTGTGTCTGTGCCCTCCAGAGATCAGGGCACAAGTAAAGCACAGAGTTGAACCATGGTACCAGCAGCTCTCAGAACACCTGCTCACACGGTGCAGGCCACGTGCAGTGAGGGCCCACATATGAACCCCGGTGAGAGCTGTCTGTGGGCCTTCTGAGTGAGGAACTCCTGTCTGCCACGGGTGCAGGAAGTAGATGGGAAATATCAGTCTCTCTCCACGGATTTCTGCTGGGAACCATGGTGGCAGCAGGTCACAGCCTGCCTGGTTCTGCTTTTCTGGTCAGTTCAAAACTTGCACAGGAGCCAGATCCCGGCTGCTCAAACAGCAATCAGACTGCCTGTGCTTGTGACCTACAGGGGGTCGGGGTGCAAGTCTACTTTTAAAAATTTAATATCTTTGAAAAACTTTTGATAGTATTATAGACAGTTAAGTTAGGTAGAAATATTACAGGTAGTCAGCCAGGGCTGAACCCTTAAGAAAGTCAATACCAAGATGAGAACACATTATAGTTGTGACTGGAGGCATATCTGTTGGAAGTCAAACCTCAAGATGAAGAAGGAATGGCCAGGCTTACATGCCACCTCAAGGTACAAGATGAGTGGTAACACCTGGTCCATTAAAGTCTAGATAGATATTAGTCACCTAGGTGATTGACCAAGACCCTTGGTCCCATCCCTTCCTGGGAAGTTCTTTGATTTTTCCATGAATGCTTGCTACATGCCAGGGATATTGCTCAGTGGTACAAGCACCTGCCTGGCAAGCATGAGCTTGTGAGTTCAATTCCTGGTACAAAAACAAAAAACAAAAAACAAAAAAACACTTGCTACATGGCTTGCTTTTCCACTGGATCAATATTACCTAAGTGACTATGCTTGTAATCTTTTTGGTTGATCACAGTTTTGACCTGCATTATACTCACCTCATGATTTTGCTCTATAAAACTTCCTTTGAGAAGTGGACTCAGTAGCAACTCACTTTCTGGATCCCCTGCTGTCCCTAAGGCAGAAGCTGTCTCTCCTTCAATAAAAGTTTCTACTCTTAACTTCCATTGTTTCCCAAAATTTATTCTTTGATTTTGGGGAACGCAAACTCAGCATATCAGACATCTCACAGGTTGGGAGTTATAATATTTCCCTTATATCACTTGGAGGTCCTATATGAGTAGTATACATATTCTAAGATTTTCACCTAGTAAATTCGTTCTTGGTAATTTTCCCACTGGAAGCAACTAAAGAATAAATAAATACTACAACCAGAAGTTATTTTGCAGTTTTACCTAAATGATGGAAAAGCAGATGCTACCTGGTGTGTTAATGAAATTTATGTGACTATAAAAAATTTTACTTATTATGACAAAGCAAGAAAAGTAGAGAATAATAGTGAATGGAATAAATGCTATTTTAAGTAAATTAGAATTATATATGCAAAAGTCTCATTCTTATGAATAATATTTGGATAAACATTGAATAATGACCAGTTTATATATTATGGTGAGGTTATAAGTTTTTAATTCATCTAGTGTCTGTCCTACCCCTATCATTTTGGATCCTTTCACAAGCTTCAATTTTTAAATATAACATGAAGTGATTGAACTAGTATAACTCAAATTTAAAAAGCTTCTCATTCTTTGGCAAACTGTCTTCTGTCTTTTCCACACTAACCATTGTCTAGTCTTCCTAGGAGCAATCAATCTGCTCTGTAGTATTCATTGAGTGTCTACCACTGGGTAAAGTTTTGATGGGAGAGACAAGCAGGAATGGCTTTGAACAATGCATGAAACATCAGTCTTGCCTTCAGAAAACTTTTGGTTTTGTCTGTGAGCAACACATGTAATTATTACTCTACAGAACCCAGATAAAAAGGTTAAGAGGAAAAATTATTACTTATAGAAGTAATAAGGACAAAAGCTATGTCTCGGAATAACTACTATTTGGGCAAGTTGGACTTTGGGTTGGGGTGGATTAGACAAAGGGCTCACCATGGGCAAAGTGGAGGTAGTTGATGCAGTGGATTATATGGAAACAGTTCCTTGCTTGGTTTGGCAAAAGCACAGGCTGAATTAGGAAGTAGAGTACTTAAGGCTTCTTTGAACAATGGGCTCTGGGTATTATAACACAGTCTGAGCAAGCATTTGCATAAACAACAGGAGGTGGTTTTGCAGTTGCTCCTCATAATCCTCAAGGGTATCCCACAACTTGGAACCAAGGAACAGGGCCAACAGCACGAGGCAGGAGAGTAGCTGCCTTAGTGAAGTGAAGTGGTTGAATAGGTGAGCCTAAGTCTTGTTCTTCATTCCCTTCAGGGCGTGTGTGGAATTCAGAGAAATCAAACGAACCCACTGAGGCAAGAGGCAGCCTTGGTCAAGAGGAAAAGCTGCTGTGTGCAGGAACTCTGCAGTGGAGAGAGTCGGGATTCAGCTGTGGGAGGCAGCACACTTCCCAGTGAAAACAGTGGTTCTAGCTCACTGAATCACGCTCAGTCATTACTGCCCAGCAGAGAGGTCCTCTCTCTCTTAAACCTCCACATGTGGAATGCTGTCTTCACAGGAACCAGGCAAGAGAGAGGAACACATTTAACAAAATTTTGATTTATCAGACAACAACAGATTGTGATATTATATATACACAAAGGCCAAAGTTTTCTCTTTCCATACCCCTCCCCTTAAGAACAATATCATATTAGTTATAGAAAAGAAGGAGACTACATTGGTGTTATACATCAGAGTGCAGCATATGAATGTGTAACCCTCAGTTGGAGACTTAAATCTTAGTGGCTTCATTTACTAGTATGTGATCACAAGTAATAACTAAATTCTTTTAACACTATTTCTCTTAAAATAGAAATTAGATCTCCTAAAATAGGAAAAAAAATTTTAAAAGATGCTTTCAAACATTATTAAAAATATTGTTTTAGCCTAATAATATTTTATGCATTATGCTAATACCTTTATAATACTAAAAATATTCTTGATCCTAACAAGAACCTTTAAAAGGAATATTTTAAAACCCTAGGTCATCTTATCTTTATAGATAAGAAAACTGATTTATAGCAATGATTCTCAAATTTTCATGCCAATTTTAATGTAAAATTTAGAAAAACAATGGAGGCTCTGAGTGTGTCATTTTTTGGGGCAATTCTTTGAACAACATGAAAGTTGCTGGTGTACAAAACACACTTTGAGCAACAAGGTCTTTTAGAAGTCACTAATCACCCAGAATCAGACAGCCAGGAAAGGAAAAGGATAATGTTGGACCCAAACCTGTTTGAACTCTAACCCTTTGTGATGATCCATTACACATTGTTTGTTTGGCTTTTTTTTTTTTGGTACCAGGAATCGAACTCAGGACCTTGCTTTTGCCAGGCAGGTGCTTGTGACACTAAGCTATATCCCCAGCCTCTACACCTTGTTTGACAGAGGTATTGGTTGTGGGAATTTGCAAATGAGACTAAGGTGACTCCTGTGCTGGATGTGGACCCTCAGCAGCTCCACCATACTAACAGATATAGCACAGAAAAGAACACCAGGAGGAGATATAGACAGGCAGAAGATGCTGACTCAGTTTTAGAAGATTCACATGGTAATCCCAAGTAAGTACACACTAGCTGAAATGTGGAATTGGAATGTGTCAGAGCTCATACTTCCAACATAGATTCTGAGAGTTATCTACACACAGGTGATAACTGAAGCTTAAGGATTAAGGGAACTAATCATGAGAAGTGGAAAGGGAAACTTTCATAAGTAGCCTTGAGGTGTACTTAGAAGCTCTCTCTAGTTTTAAAAATTAGCTAAGTTTAGACACACCTGACACACAAAACCATGCAAAAGCTGTACAGTGTTATCACAGTGCAGTCAGTGTTTCAGTAATACCACATGCATTTCAAACATATGTACATAGATCTGCATACTGATAGATTTTACAAATTTGATGAATCTATTCTCATCTGGATGGCTTCTTATTTTTTCTTTGTTTGTTTTTGTCTTTTTTTTTTTTTTTTACGGTACCAGGAATCGAACTCACAACGTCACGCTTGCCAGGCAGGCTCTGTACCACTGAGCTAAATCCCCCGCCCCCAGGATGGCTTCTTATTTTGACAAATAATTATGCTATTATTTGAGGGACAGGGATTATTGACATATCAAATCCTGATTTTAAACATCAATAGTAAGAGTAATTGTTGCTGTTTTTATCCTGGAAACTTAGCAAAGTGCCTGACCATTACAGAATCCCTGCAAATACTTGTTAGGTGAATGAATAAATAAATGCACAAAGACATTTGATTTTTGCTAGTCTTAAAATTTATCATGAAAAGTTTGCAAAAGTTGGCAAAGAGATACAAGTTAAGCCAATAAACTAACTGCTTATGATAGTCAATATCATTCATTCAATAAATACTTACTGAGCATTTACTGTATTTCTAGAGCACAGTAAGCACAAAGAATGTTTGTCATTCAGGGAGCAGAAGTAGGTAAATGAGTAATTATATCCACCCAAATAGTGCTAAAACTGAGGCTCTGTGGAAAGGTTTAGCAAGATTCTTTCAGTCATTCAGGAGTTCAGAGGTAACATTTTGGCTTTTGGTTATTGAAGTGCTTAGCATATCAAGTAATATTGATGTGTAAGGAATGATTTGGCACAAAGCTGAGCAGAGACTATTCCAAACAAGCACCACATCATACTTACATGAATAGAGGGAAAAAACAAATATGGAATAAGATGCTATTTATTAAAAGCTGACAAGCACCAGGAAAAAAATGCTTAACATTTACCTTTTCACTCATTACTCACAATTTTTTATGTGCCTTTTCTTTTGTAGCTGAGAATATGAAGTCTGTGAGAAAATAAATAACATTCCCTAAAACCACAAGCTAACACTTGCACTTCTTGGGTTTGAGTTCAGGTCAAATGAGACAGAGAGGACACATACTTAGACACTGAAATATGCTACATCTACATTAGAGTGACTGTAAGTATTTCACTGCAGCTGGAGTTCAGTATTTGTGCGTGTGTGTGGAGTGGCACAGAAGGAAAGGCTGGAGGGACAGATTAATCCAGATGCTAAAGAGCTGAGTATGCTAAAGATCTGCAGATATTTCTGAGGATCGTACGGTGATTGAAGACTTACCATATTTGCAAAAGGCTGCAATTCGTGTGTCTGGTTGCCAGGCAGCTCTGAACCACTAATGGTACATGCATGACTGTCCCATTGGGCAGCATGGAACAGACCCACCAGGTGAGTGCCATTGGTGGGTAGCATTGGCTTGTATCACTGGTGGTTCAAGCCAACAGGAACACAGCAGGGTAATGACATAAATGGATTGATGTTTTAGAATGGTTGATTCCTATGACAATGTAACACAATGGAAGGAGAATGTGAAGAACTGCCTCAAGAGAGGGTAAAGCAAATAAGAAAAATCCAATGAAATAAGAAACAGCTTAGACTGAAAGGAGTATAGGAGGCTAGAAGACTGCACGGATAATTAGAATACACAATCCAGGTGCTTGCAGATCCATTAGATGTCAAAAGAGGCTTTCAAATATTCTAAACATTCCTGTCTTGGTGAATAAATAAGTATTTTATAATGCTATTTACCAAAAACGAAACACCAGAGGCAGACCAGTTTACCAAAAGACAATAGCTATGTCAAACATGTTATTTTCAAAGAATAAATGTTTAATACACAATTTAGATACAGTGCAGTTTCTGATTTATCCCCTGCCTCTCTTCATCCTCATTTCTCAGCAGTCTATCTTTGCGCTTTACACTCCAACTACGTGAGCTCCATCCTCAGGTATATTCAACCCAGCTATTCCCTTCCTAAGCACCTTCCAAAAAAGAGTTAAAAATGTTCTATTACAGTGATCCATGCATACCCATGTTTATAGCAGCATAGTTGATAATAGCTGAATCTTGGAAGTGGTCTATCTGTCCATCAATAGGTGACTGGATTAAAAAATATGATATTTGTAGCAGTGGAGTACCATTTTGCTATAAAGAAGGATAAATTCTGCTATAAAGAAGTCATTCATAGGAAAAATAGATGCACCTTGAGATCAAAATCTTAATTGAAATTAGACATGTAAGCATAAGCACGATGTGTTTTTTCTTTTTATAAGAAACCCAAAGCATAACTAAATTAAACAGCAAAATAAAATATAATAAAGGGAAACAGGGAGATAGATATTTTACAAATAGAAAGAGAACTAGGAGAAGAAAGTGGGGGAGGGGATGCAAAAAGAATTAAGGTGCATCATGTACATGTGCCAACTACCCATAATGAATGTAATCATTATGTATTAGAAGCATGTACTACTAAAAAGAAATGAAAAAAGAAAAGGTGCCATGCTCGCTCAGTGCCAGACATCAGTACCTGCTCTCTGTGGGACTTACCCTAAGGTGGGAGACCTTCTCTTGTGCACCTTAAGCATGTCACCCCTACATCTATTAACATTTATTGCATCTTAGTCTGTGATTTACTGACTTGCCTCCTTCTTTAAAGGATAGTAATTGGATTCAAGTTTAGTCCTTTTGAATATCCAGCACTCAGAATTGGTATTGGCATAAAACGGGTTCTTAGAATGATGGGAGGAGAGAGATGGGCATGAACACTGTCCACAGTTGCTTTGACAAGAGTAATATCTTATGAAGCAGCAGAGACACGTGATTAAGGACATCACTCTGGTGCTAGGCTATCTGTATTTGAATCTACTTCCATGATTATTAGCTTTGATAACCCCTAAGCATTCTGTGATTGGGGTTCCTTATCTGTAAAATAGAGATGACAGTGTCTATCCAAGGTTTTTGTGACTGTGAAATACTAGTGTGCCTATGACATGTAACACTGCCTGGTTCATTAGAGATTCAAATGTAGCTGTTAATTTTCTGATTCATCATTGGTAGTTTTAGCCATGATAGATAGCAGTCATAATTTCTTCCTCTTTTCTTTCTGTCTTGAGTCTATGAACCCATTTGCTCTGAAGCTTAAGGAAAATAATTTTAAAACCTCAGGAATGAATAATGCTCTCCACCACTAGCTTTCAGGGATGTAGAAAGCAGGCTACTTTTATTTAGATAAAATGTCTGTCATTAAAGTATAAATAACATTCCTTTAGTCTTCATAATGGTCTTCCAAATTGCTGGCTGATAAATATTTAAACTATTTTATTCCTTTAAAATGTAGCAGAGAAAAAGATATTTGAGTCAACTTCCATTTTCAAAGTCACAAAGCAAGATAGGTAACACATCTGGGTTTATTACAAAATAAATGTTTGATTTTATGAAATTTAAAAATATTTTGCTATAATCACCAAAGATAAATTTTCCTAGAAAACTTAAATAAGGTTTATATTATTTTAAAAAATCATTTTCATGCGCAATGTTGTGATTTATTATGATTTAAAAACAGAGGAGCTCTGTTCAGCATTATTTATTATGGCCACAAAAAAATGTCTGACAATATGCAAATGCAGAAGTCTCGACATTTAAAATGATTTTCAAAGAACAATTAGCTGATATTTCTCTCTTTTAGAACATTTCAAACAATGGATGTAGGTAATAAGAATAGAAAGTTAAAAATGTTAATGCAATTGTATTTAGATTGAACATGTTCTTTAAAAGAAGTGATTTATTTTTAATCCCTTTATCTCTCTATCTATCTATCTATCTATATATTTATAAAATTCTATAAAGGGCATCCCTGAAAACAACAAATTTATTTAGAAATATTTTGTCTAACCCAGTGTTAAAACAAGATGTTATATTAGAATATTGCGCCTACTCTAAATTATCTATTAATGTCTTTTTAAAGTTACTCTGTATATAAATTTGAAGAATTTCTTACTTACTGAATGCATTTATTATTTTGAGAAAT